CTCCCAGTTGGCTTGTTAGCTCAATTGGTAGAGCGCTGCACTAGTATCGCAGAGGTCAGTGGTTCGAATCCCGTACAGGCCTGAAATTTTTTTCAGGTCTGATTTTCACTATTGCTCAAATAGTGCTTTACTGCGAAGGATCGTGCTCATTTACGTTACTATTATTCTTGATACAGATATTTTAGCATGTCATTGTTTTCTCTTTATCGCGTTCATCTACAATGAATAAATGAAAACCACTTATTTTTATGTAAAATATCTGATGGAATCTCTTGGTACCGGTAAGTCATTATCTGATCTATTATTGACACTATTCCCCTTTCTTGTTTGAGGAGCTTGAATAGTTTGTTTCTTTGATCTGTTCTGTATTCTCTTGTTTTTTTCGGTCACTATCTTTATACCTTACAATGTAAACTATGCTTTAAGTGCGCTAAAACTACCTCAATATGTAAGAAAATACTTTGTTCAAGATTATTCAGCTGACCTTAAAGGACTCTGCCACCCTGCCTTACAACTCATTTCCTGGATTTTCAACCCCTGTATATGTAGTCTAATTCAAAATTGGTCAAGTGAACTTAGTTTTACAATAAAAGGCTAGTTTTCATCATGGTCCTAACATTAGATCTAGCAAATATCGCACCTTACGCTAGCTGGCAAAAAGTTCAAAACAATATGGGCCTGTATGATCCTTCCATTAACTTGGTGATAACAATATAATCAAAATACAATTCGAATTCATAAGAAAACTTTTTTGAGACATATTTTAGCACAGCTGGTTACACCCAACTCGGCGCTACGCACCTCCTTGACTATTTATACCATCTCATAATTCTCACACACGCTTATGGAATAATTTTTAAGTATCCGTTGGCGTTGTTTTAACACGTCACATAAACAGTACGCTGTCACGTTAAATAGAATCACAATTTGTATGACCCTATTCTTCATCCTGCTTACAGTTGTTCGATGATAGAAAAAGATGGGTGGAACAATAGCTTACCATTGTTTTGGAATTGTTTTCAGTAATCTTTATGAATGTTCAACTAATTTGGCTATTACCAAACACTGCTGTTTGCCAGTGTCGGTTAAAAAATCCCTCCCTTTCAATTTGCACATAGATCAGAGGCGACCTAGTAGGCGTTTATAGATTATGTTAGCATAATTTTTGGAATAATTTGAGCAAACTGGCATAATTTCTGCCAAGTAGCAATGCTAGCATAATTCGCATATTTTGATAATTATCGGATCATTTTTGATGCTACAATTTGATCATTGTTCATCTCTACTCCCAAGCCCTTGGTGACGTTATTCGATGTTTAAAGTTTTAGTTCAAGTGGTAGCATTTGTAGTTCACTTGAATCACTGAGCGGCGTCTGAAATGGTCTGAGCCCGAGTCTGGGGTGCACCGGAACCGGAAGTCACATTGTAGGCCATGTATAGTCGTGTACTAGTGTGCACGTTAACATAAACCACATGTTTATTTGAATTTCATTGTGGGTTTGTTACGTTTCTTTCTTGTAGACCTACGGATTCTAATTAAAAAAGAACATAATTTTAGTATAATTTCGCCAAAAAAAGGATTGCTATTAGCATAATATGCTAACGTAATCCTAGGCCTACGGCCTAGCCTAAGCGTTTGTTGGGAAGTGAAAGGTACCTATTACTAGAACTGGAGTAAATGAAAATGAGCAACTAGGAATAAGAATTTTTTTTAAAAAAGAATGAAACTAAATTTTTTTACTGATCTTAGCAAAAAGGCAAATAAAGGAACGAATAAGATACCGCTAGTTACAGAATATAGCAGCTTGCTATTAAAAAGGGATAGAACTTTGTATCAGCTGTGATTGTCATTTAAGTACTTCTTCTGAAATGATAAATTGGTATGACCTTTTGATCATGAAGGATTATCTTCTTACTTTTTTCTCGGGGGTTTCCTCTAGGCTCACATATC